TTATTATTATTAGTTAGTTATATATATATATATATATATATATATATATATATATATATATATATATATATATATATATATATATATATATATATATATATGAGATTAGAACAGACATTATAAGTCACATTTCTCAATCTAACAAAACCCAATAAGAATCTAATAGATACTTGCAAAAGATCTCCATATACCAAAGAATATAGTACATAAGAAAAGAGAATTTTTTTTGCCTGCAAAACATGTGGATTAAGCAAATAAATTTCAGAAGATCTCAAGCATGAACAGAAAAGCTCGGCAAACACCATATCGAATGTCCGACTCCAGATCATGCTCAAGTTACCGTCGATTACATGGATGCAAAGCAGAAACTGTGGCAAATCTCTGCCCTCATATCATGCCAAGAACAAAACATGTGGGCATGAGGGATCCGATAAGCCAATATGAAAGAACTTGAGAGGCGTGTGTGATTCTTCTCCACTCACATCGTTTTTTTATTTCTTATTCATTGGTTCTCTGGTGGTGGTGCAGACTTTTTTTCTTGGCTGTGGAGATCTCAAGTGGTCTGTTCTGTCCCATTCTTTTGCCCATGAACTTGGAATCCTGCTTGCTCTTTGTTCAGAGAGAGCTTTCGGCTGCAATCATGATGATGGCTGTTCATCTCCGCTTTGCTCAATAAATAATTAGCTGACAGAGGAGTCAAAGTTGATGGCTCATCGGATTTCTATCTTGCTGTAAGCGCTTACGTCCTAATTATTTGGTATCATCAGAATCATGTTATTTGCAAGATGAGATTTTGATGAGAGTCATCACATTTTTAGAAGCCATTGACTGATAAGCTGGTAGTATATTATTCACCAGAATATTCTGGGTTTCATTCATGACAGAGAAAAATGACATCTTTGTTGCTACTTGCCATTCTTCTCATCTGCCCTAAATGTTGTGTTGCTTATTCTTTTGTTTCTTTGGTGGACTAGCATGGATCACATGTCAGGCTGAACAAAGTCTGGAAAGGACGGCGGTGAGGGGTCAAAATCTCATACGTAATAATCTTAATGCACACATCTTTGTCTGCTTTCATTCAGAAACTTTGACTCGGATCTTACGGGCCACATTTAAAATATTCCGGAAATATTCTGGAATACAATTTAGAATAATTCCTGTAGAGATTTCTGAGCAGCTCGTGGCACAGCCACAGCCAATATCTTCCTGTGAGGTCCTGATCCTACGAACTGTCATGAAGATGATGTCCTTCTGCTTCAAGAGCATGCAACTCTCCATCGGAACAGCTGAGTGGTAATGTGTGACACCATTGAAATCAACCATGAATGCAGATGTGGAATTCGAATTGTCCTTCCTCACCATTCATCTGAGATGATGATACTTCTTCAGCTGCCACTAGTTCATATGAGTCTGGCCATTCATTCTCTACAAAGATTAAGTTTGAATTTCTCGCATTTGTTGACATTTTCAAGTGAGGATTATAATAAAGTTTCTGCTAATTATATTTTAAAGGCTTTTCGATGAAATAATTAGCATCGATGTCTACAATTTGGTGGCATCTACTATAACTGAAATTGAACTTGCAGCTCTGCAGATACATTCATAGTATATTGGATTTGCCAGAAATATGTACAATTCCAATGTGTAAATCGAACCATTCTAATGTGAAAGAGATTTAAATTATTTTTTTTGTAGGTTCTTTAAGGTTGCATAGGAGATGAAGTAAATGGATGGTTTAATCCTATAAAATAATAGCTCTCTGTCTGTGTTCATTAGAGTTCAGATTTCACCTAAATATGGATAGATTCATACTTCCATATGCCAGTATATATCTCAACAAAGAAATGGTAAGTATTTCTACTGCAATCAAGCTTTAAACCTTGATTTCAAAGCATCATATAAACTGGATGAGAGTTAACTCAGCTCTGGAATCATATTTTTTTGACATCTCTTATAAGAAAAATTGGAAATGTTGGTTAAGTTGAAGTGGCCTATAAACACGCTTAGTGGTTTAGCATACTGCAGAAAACATCAGAAAGGACCAATGAATTCAGATCTGAAATTTAAGGGCTTTCATGGGAGGACATGGATTTGTAAACAGTAATGTTGACATTTATCTTATGTGGTGACTTTTTGGACTACAAATTGAGTTCTCTGAGTTTGACTGCAGATGCTCCAGCTGTATATGAACACTGGAGACTCAGTCACTGAATACAACCTAGCAGATTCAGATCAGGTTTGCTGTATTCTGCTGCATTAGCAGGGAGCACATCAAGGAGAGGTGGTGGAAGATGTGGGCAAGCATGCCTCATGGAGGAGGAGCAGCCGGTGGAGAGGTTGGCTTCCAACTCCCTTTGGCAACTACTGTTGAAGATCTTCTTCCTACACTAACATACAAGTAATCCAACATTAAAACCAAGTGACCATAAGCTCCACACACCAAGATCTCCTTCAGCTCATGGTTTTAGCAACCATAAATTTGCATTACTGTAGTCCTAATTCTCCTTGACACCAAACATGAGCAAATGGTGCTACAGGAAGTTCTCAACCTAGAAAAGCAGATGGTTGCTGAAAGCAAAACACAAGATTAAATTATATATATATCTCTTTATTTTTTGAAACTTCTCATGTAATTCAGTGTGACACATTGAACATCAACATGACTCAAATGCTAAATGTTACTTGTAAAAGAATTATGCTGAAAAAACAGAGATTGCTTCAGTCTTCAAGTTGATATCTTTCAATTTGACAAGATCATCATTGAAGACAACTTGCATGGACAAATTCAAAAACCACTAGGTATTTAAGAATACAAAATTATATGTCATATTTCATCCGACTGTTTAAACTTCAATATGAAATGACAATTAAGATGGTACCAAAGCGGAAGCAACCACATTAGAAAGAAATTACATCATAATTATTTATATATATCTTTCTGATCAGATCAAGTTGCATGCCTTAGTAAGATGTTAAGAATATAAATCAAATCAGTTATCATTTTAGGTTGTAGAAAGGTAAAGGCCTTCATTTAAGAAAGTATGGATGATGTGGGAATGTGGCTATACTTGTGGTCCATGTACACTACTTGTTCATCATAGCTATTCTTGCTTTTGTTGTCCTTTGGCCTCAGCCTGCAGCCATTTCCCTCCATTTGTTTGAGATACCAGCAACAGTATATGTTGGAGTATTCATAATGAGTGTGGTAGTGTAACTATCACATTTGAGCTCACTGGGAAGAGAGGGAGACAACTATGCTTTCTAATTATAACCTTTTTCTTCTTTTGTTATGTTGATCAAATTTATAACTTCTGAGATTATGTCAAAGTTTAATCTAAAGCTCCTCTTATTGCTAAATTCTAGATGTGGAATGTAAAGAGCTTGAAAGACCAACGATGGCAAGATTGTCTTCCCATAAAGTAGGGCTGTGGATTTAGTCCCTCACAGGAGACATGTGGGAAGTCTTCATCCATGCTTGCATGAGCTATTCCAGAGATTTTACCCCATGCAGTCCAAGAAATGCCTCTTTCGAGTTAAGGTTTCATTACCACCATATAGTAATTTGGATTAGGCTTAGGCATGCATCAATCTTATTAAACAATATGCATCAATTCAATACATTATATCAGGTTTCATCCATACATGTCTCAGTACCTACTTGTGCTGACTGAAGTCCTAATCCTTCAGCTAAAGGTCTAACTTGGCCATGTAGATGATGCTGCCTCATAGCCTAATTGGAAATAAGTGCTGTAGAATCAAAG